GTGAATGATGTTGTTTGGGATAATGAGAGGAGTGCATGAACAAAGAAATTACGGATAGGTCATGGAAGTATAAGGAAGAAAGCTGTAATTTAAATTTAGACATAGTCGTAGTTAATAATGAAATACATAACAGTGGGTCATACTGGGGTGCCTTAAATGGAATATGACCGGAACTATCACGGCCGTGGTCGTGGTGAAAATAATGACCGGAGTCATAATGTAAAAGATGATGATCGAAGTTATAATGGAGCCAGGGTCATGATAAAAAAGATAACTAGAGTTACAAAGGCCGAGGCCGTGATGGAAAGTGATGACCGGAGTCATAATGGCCGGAGCAGTAATAAAATATAATGGCCGGAGCCGTAATAAAATATAATGACCGGAGTCATAAGGGCCGGAGCCGAAGTAGAGTATGTGACATGTGGTCGTAGTAACCAGGACCGAAGTAGAACATGTCTCTGTGGTCGGAGCCGAAGTAAAACACTTTGCCCATCAAAAAGTGTAATTGTAAAAGTAAGCAGGAGTGCTGAGCTGGGCTTAAAATATGATGACCGAAGTCATAATGGCTGGAGGTATAATAAAATATAATCACCGGAGTCATAATGGCCGTAGCCGAAATAAAATGTGTGATACTGGGTCATTGTGATCGAAGCCGATGTGAAATATAATGCATGATTATTGTGGTCGAAGCTGAGGTGAAACACTTGCAAAATTGAGAATGTATAAAAGTGAACAAAGGTATTGAAATGGGCGTAAATGGGCCTGTGTAAAAATACTGACATGGGTGTGACAGTTGTCCTTGGAAGTACGTGTGCAATAAATGTGGCTATAAGAAAATAACTGCAACAGTTAAACGGGCAAAAATTAAAAAATGAATCGTCAAATTCAAAACAGTACCGTTTGGGGTTGGCCGTCGAATTCTAAACTGTGCAAATAGGAACCGTAAGATTAAACGAATCTTAGCCGTTGAGATCTAATTTTGCCCAGAAGTATAAATAAACATTTTTTCTGCAGAGGGAGGTTTACTTGCATTCCTTTCTCTGCAAAACTTCTGCGAAAAGCTTTATTGTGCGTTTCTTGTGCGTGAACT